GAGTTTCAGACATATGGAGATGACTTTCCTATTAAATATGACAATAAAGCTGAGGACAACAGTACGAAAAATGTAAATAATGTAAATACTTATGAAGATGTAAGAAAGATTTTAATTACTATTCCTAAACAGAAATTATAAATTCCCCGTATTTTTATTTACACATTGATTTCATTTTAACGCTCGGTTTTTTCATGTCCATATTTCTAATTGGAACAAGCAAAAACTTTGATTATTTCCCTGTGTTATAACAATTCTAATTTGTTTTTCTTTCTCAATTTTAAAGTCAATTTGGAATCTGCAAACTATCATTACCTTTTCTTTACATATACACATATATGCGCACATGTGAATTTAAACAAATATATATTTATATGTTAACTAGTAATAACGGAATGCACATTACACATGCATGTAATAACAAGTATTGCATATCATCAAATTACATGAATAACACATCGACAATATATATTAATATGTTTACATACATTATAAATGTTCAAAACGGACATGCATCTACAATGATACTCCCACTTTTCTTTGTAATTTTAAACTGTCTCTCTGTATCTCATATATAGGTTTATATGGAATATTCTATACTGAGCGTGATTTAGCAAATGGACAAATTTACTTACAGTTTGAAAACCAGATAAATTTACGATAGGTAAGATGGAAACTCCTTTTGTCCATGCCAAACCTAGAAGTTATCTTAAACTATCACAGACGATAATTGGTGAAATGAGATATTGGAATGAAATAAAAGAAAGAGAAGTTTAAAATAGGTTAAAAAAATAGCCACTCAATTTAAGAAATGATAACGATTAGGACTTCGTCAAAATTCCTGAAAGCACCAAAAGAAGTCAACAAAATCTTCTTAATTTTAAATCATTCCACACCAAGCATGGTAACTAAACCACTAAAACGCAGGTTTGTAAAAGAATATAAGGAAAACATTATTAAGTAGCAAGAACAATAAAATAACGGAATTTAAGAGGGAAAAAGATTATAATTGGATTTTGTGAAGGTCAAAGTTTACTGTAAAGCAAGAATCCGAAGGATAATTCCATGAGCGAGAAATTTGATGAATGAAAATTGTTAGCTGAGAACTTACGGTTACATCTAGCCATTATGACTGTAAAATGATGATATCTTGTGGCCAATATATTAATTCGCTTGAATTCAAAGTGTCTTGATACCATAAAGGAGAGTTCATGAGAACATGTAAAATTGTCACTTGTTTTTGATTATCAGGTAATTTTTAAAGCATATTTATTACAATTTAGCGTAATTGAGAAGATTAGATTGATCATGAACAATATTCAACTTCCCAATATAATTAATATCCTCGGTGTGCGGATGTAAAAAAAAAACTCGACAGCAAAATGGAAGTATTTAAGTTGAAAATGGCGTGCTGTTCTGCTTGATATTCGCGCCGGAAGATCCGAATGCGAATATTTCAGGTTTTTGTGTGTCAACCTGAAGACAGTGCCTAGAATTCGAAAATAGCTTGAAAGAGTATAATGGTGATTACGAAGGTACGACAGCGCGAACAACTCACTATGGCCGTTCTTGTTTTGAGGAAGCTGTGCTGCCCTGGGTCAAGAGGGTACTGCTAGCAACAGGACATTGCACCATGACACACAAGCAGGACAACCCAATCATGGCTGTCAGGCAATATCTGAAACCGCATCACCCCATATATCATACAAGTACCTATCATCCCAGATTAACTCCCTTGACTATTACATATAAATAAATAAATAAATATATATATATATTTATACTGTGTGCATATATATATATATATATATATATATATATATATATATATATATATATATATATATATAGGCAGCGCTATATAGTCATCATGGACGAAATATACTATAAAAACAGAATTTCTAGAATCACTAGGGGATAAGAACAACTACAAATTAATTGGCACCAACATAGTCAAATTATTATATAAAAAATTACAAAAATCTCCATGACACATGACAAAATATTAACAAATAAGAAAGGATTTCTTCATAATTTCTTTCACGAAAAACAAGTAATTTTTGCAGACTACCAAAAATTCTCTAATTGAGTAAAATAAAAGACGGATAAAAATCTGAATACATTACCATCCTAATCTCCAGTCACCTTACATTTAAACCCTAGTAGAAGGAACAACATCTACAAAAATAGCAGACTCTATAAATTAATAGACGCTATACTACAACAATTCACTAAGCATATTGAAATCTACATCAGAATCTATATCTACATCCTTAGCTCCCTACCATAAAAAGTTGATCCGGGAACACTTATGGCCAATTTTGACATCATTTACCTATATAGCAACGTTCCCATCAATTAAAAGGCAATCTCATTCTGGAATGAAAAACATCTAGAAACACTACATCCCAGATTTAATAAGGAATTCATAATGGATAGTATAGACATGATTCTAAAGATTAACACTTTTGAATTTGACAACAACTAAGGGTTAAAAAATAAAAAATAAAAACTGTTACTTTAATCAAAATATGTTTGCGAAACATTTACAATTAACAAGTGAACATTTTAAGCTTTAAATTGATGAATTTAAACAAACATTTAAAATAAAAGTTTTTTTTTTGTTTGGTCATAAAGATAGAACCATGTAAATACAAATAGAAAATACTGTACTACTGTACTGTACTGATGCGGCATTCACCCTGGGCGGATCGAGCCGGCTTCTTCCTGTTATGAGAAGAAGATTCTTGGGATAAATTACAGAAGTAGGGTACTCAGGCCTACTCGAATAACGTTCTTGCTTGCCGCGGGATTCCCACAAACGCAGAGACAGGAACGACCAGAAGCCGCCGGTTACCGATGCAGACGCTCCTTGGATTTTCACCAGAGCCCTTGTTAGCCAACGTGTGTGTCAGACCTGTCCGCCTTGGGTGGCCCTACCAGGAATGAAGTTCCGGGCGGCATAGCTCTGACACTACCGTTTACACCCCCCACCGACTGTGAGGTAAGGGCTTACAGTACCAGGTGTTCTCAAGCGGTCCCCCATCTAAGTACTGACCTGGCTCTACGATGCTTAACTTCGGTGATCGAACGAGAACCGGTGTTTCAGCGTGATTTGACCGTAGAAAATACAGAACATATAAGTCACAACGATAATTTAATTCTCAGTATACCAACCATTTTTGCGAATTACTTCGAAAATTCGCTTTCGCACACTCATTATTAACTTCTGCATGAGGGTGCTTGGGATACTCGCCCAAGATGCTTAAACTGCAACACGAAGAGTATCCACAGATTCAAATTGCGATCCATGTTTATAAACATCCCTTGTCATTTATCCCCAAACATTCTCGATTGGGTTTTGATCTGGAGAGCATTGTTGATTGCAGTATTGTCCTTTTGGAAAATCCAGTTTTCTCGACATAGATGAGGGCCTTTACTAATTAGCGTTGCCTTTCTTAACATGTCAATGTAACTAGCAGCTGTTTTACGACATTTTCCTTCCTGTAACTCAAGAGTTCCATTGTACGAAAACGAATCTCAGACCATAATTGATCCACCTCCACTGTCTCGTGTTGAGAAATTTTCAGTTGGGGCATCTTTTGCATGCCAGTAACGCTGCAAATAATCTGTGTCAAGAAGATTCAATTTCTCCTCGTCTGAAAACAACAATTTATCCACATCCCAAGTTTGATAACCGGAAGCAAATTGTAAATGGAATGTTTTATGGCGAAGAAGAAAGCGAGACCTTTTGGAACTGTTTCAAGTTCTGAAACCCCTTCTGATTTAAATGCCGTCGAATTGTTCGGAAGCTGCATTCTGCATTTGTATTCGCTTTTAATTGATTTGATGTTAGGCTTGAATCTCTCTTAACTTACCGCCTAATGCGCCTGTCTGGAGATGATGAGATTCTTTTGTGGCGACCGATGGATTTTTTAGAAGCATACGCATCCTGATTTTTAATTAATTTAGCAATGACAGTTTTGCTACGTCCAACTTCATTTGCAATGGCTCGTTGCGAAAGGCCACATCTTTGAAGATCAACAATACTGACCTGATCAAAATTTTAAAATTTTAACCTTAGCCATGTTAAAATCGGAAATTTAAAACTGGAAATGAGCTACATAGACATCTACATGCCTGAAGCTACGAACACACTGACTAGTTCTAAAGTTTTTGTCAGGTAATTTGTTTTTTTTTCACACGTGGTTTTATCTTTATGGGCAACGGAAAAAATCCTTTTTTCAATGTTTGCTTACATTTTCTCATTAAATGCAAATATTTCGCAAATATATTTTGATTAAAGTAACAGTATTTTTAACCCTTTTGTATCTATTCTGAGCATTTGACCAGGGGTGTAGACATATATATATATATATATATATATATATATATATATATATATATATATATATATATATATATGTATAAGTTAAAAAGAAAAGTAAGAAAGCAAGAATACGAGTGAAATAAGGCAGAGAGATAGATCAGGAAGAAGGAATGTTTTGGCATACTTATCAAATGAATTTCTCTCGGTATGTCAAATTATAAATAAAATATATTCTAAGAAAAAATATATCTTACTGTGTTTACTGCAGTATCCAGTTCATATCTTCAATATATGCGAAATGTTATCGATAATTACAGTAGCTAACCTGAGCAAATCTTCCACATCGACTGGGAAAAATGATGAGAGTTTCTTGTCGAATTTCTGAAGACTGAGTTTCTTTAGTAATATAAGGACTTCTCAAATCAAACAGACACTACGATTTCAGGTTTAAAATGACCATTAAGCAAAATCAGTCAAGTGAATTAAATTGTGAAAATAAGGCATGAGAAAAGAAAGTAAAATATAATAACAAGAAAGAAAAAGCTGGGGATATTGAGCGAAAAATAAATGTTCAGTATATGAAAATTAAAGAAAAGGAAAGAAATATAAAGACGACAATAGAAAAGGAGACAAAATATTTAAAAGAATGAAAAAAGAAATCGTTTAAGGTTTAAGAAAGAAAAAGAAGAAAGTCAACAAGATAAAATGGAGAAAAAAAAAACGAATGAAAGGGAAAATAAATGAAGAAAAATATAATTGATATCTTTAAAGAAAAGGAAAAAAATGAAAATAGAATGATGAAAGACGAAATATTATATAAGGAAATAATATAACAAAATGAGTAAGAAAGAAAAATAGATGAGGAAACGATAAGAGCGTAATGAAGTAGAAATGGAAAGAGATTTCTTGAAAGAAAGACGAAAAATAAAAGAAATAAATAAAAAAGAAACAAATTAAAACGTGTTAATTCACAATGAAAAGTTAAAAGAAAAGTAAGAAAGAATACGAGTGAAATAAATAAACTAACGAAGAAAGAAAATAAGAGAAAATAAATATTACTAATTAAAAGATAAGAGAGATATAAACAACAAGACAAAAAAGAATGAAATACGAGAGAAAAAAAATGAAAGAAAAAAGAAAGAAAGAAAAAAGAATGATCAAGAAAAAGAATAGTGAATAATGAATTAAAAATAAATAGAAAATAGAAATAAAAGAAATAATAAAAATAAAAAATGCGATTAGATTTATTAAGAATTTGCGGAATATTTCCAGGTGAGTTTGCAAATAAATAAAAAAAACTGAAGCAGGGACAGAAAAACAAGGGTAAAAATAAAATGGTTGAAAGTATGCAAAAGAAAAATATGGGAGTTAAAAAGGTAAAATAAAACTTATTGAATAAAAGACGGATCAAATTACCGATAAACAAGAAGCTTGCAAGAGTGTAGCAAGAAACAGTAAAGAGAATTGAGAGAAAAAAGTGGGAAAATAATCAAGGTAGAATTTAAAAGATAGCGTCAGAAAGAAACAAGCAGCGTCGATTTAAAAGAAAAGGAACAAGCTGATAAAAAATAAATGAATAAAAGATACAACATTAAGAAAAAAACAAAGCGGTTAGGAAAAAAAGAAAAAGAAAATCATTATAAAAAAAGAAAAAAAAAAGTTAACAAAAATCACAAAAGTGGCTTAACGGGAGACAATAAAAGCTATGTTCTAATAAAAAAAAAAATTACGAAATAAGACGAGAAAACAAAATTAAAAAAAACAGCCAAAGTTATGAACACAATAAAAAAATATAGTTAAAACAAAGAACTTAAAGAGAGAAGACAAAAACTGAAATGAAAAATAAAAACTCATTTTTCATGTTGAAGCATTACATCCGTCTGTTCATGCTGCTTGAAGTCGTCCGATAACGTCAGACTGAGTGCAATAGAATTGAATAAAGACGACGACGCCAAAAGCGCGACAACCGATTTAGCAGACGTTCAGAAAGAGTGATTACTTTGCTTCGAATCACCTCGTGACATTTTCTCAACTTTACCAAAAATCAGGTCCTAATGGACGTTATTATTGGCCAATTTACAGAACGTTGGCGGTTAACACTTGCATATTATTTGCCGTTTATCTTACCTCAAAAATACAAATTGTGCTTGGATACAATATTTTCGAAATTATAAACAGCGTTACGCTATTTACAAACACAGTTATATTAGAATTTTCTCTTGCAAAATTATATTAATAATAAGTACGTCGCTTTTTTTATTTTGTATTTACAATAGCGGGGTATAACCTCATGGTAAATGGCTACGACTCACATGATATAAAAAATAAGGAAGTAATATTTTCGATAGGAATACAACAAATTTAAAAGTTAAGAAGACTTATATTTGCTTTACTCATATTGTAAACGTACTTATTAGCAAGGATACAATTCCACTCAGGAATAATTTTTTTATTTTTATTCCTTGTCGAAATTGCTTCGGAGAATTACTGCATTTATAAGTTATTACAAGAAACATAAAAATTCACAGGATTAGATTTAATCGTGAATTTTTATCAACGTCATTCTTGAAAAAATAAAGTACAATTAAAATTGATTTCACTTGTGTAATTATTACGTTTATTTTGACTGACATCTCTCCCTTTACCTTGCAGAATTTAGAAACATTTTAAGTAAATTTCTGCAGTTTTTGATGTGGAAATATTTTCGACGAACTATCGATTCTGTTTTCCAATAGAAACTGTTTTCTCCTCAAATCGTTTTGTATTGATCGAAACTGGTAATAATTGATTGGTGCAAGATGTGATAAGTTTGGTAGAACAGACCCGCCGAGTTTCAAAATTGTGTCTTGTGTTATTGTTGTTGTATACCGACTTGCGTTTTGGTGGAAGATAACAAAATATTTTTTTTAATCCACTGTATATGCTGCCACGGCCAAACAGAACCTGAGTTATGCTTGTGTGCTCCAAATTTATTCCTTACTGTTGCGTATAATTAGTTGTTTTGAGGTAAAGTTTTCATACAATTGGTTCTGAAATGAATGGAAATTATTTACGATTCCACACAAGACATCGGAAATAAAACAAGAATTATTAGGTTGGTGCAAAAACAATGACGTAATAATGTCGTTTTTTGACGTATTTTCTAACGACAAAAAACGACATTCTTACGTCATTATCTTTGCACCAACCTAATAAAAACTTGTATTTTCTTAGTTTCTAGCATATACAAAAATATCAGTTGTAAACAGTAAATTCAGTAGCTTAATTCGAGGATACATTAATAGTTTTTTAACAAAACTGACAGAACATATTCATTGACCACTCTTGGTGTGTATTTGAATAGGATACGTCTTTCGTTTACAGAGATATAAAGAAACATCGAGCTACCAGTAGAGTTTAAATGTCAAATTTGCGGAAATGAGGTGGACCGGGGATGTTTTCAATAATAAGTATGGTTTACATACTTTTTCTTCATTTATGTATCTTGTCCTTTCAGGACAGAGGCGATCATGGCTCTCCACTTCTTCCTATCTCTTGGCGTTCTCAAAATGTTTTGTTGTTTTTGCCTCTTCACCCAAACCTTGTTCTGTCATCCATTTGCTTAAGCCCGCGAGGTATGTCATGCGTTTCTTTCCCATTTCTCTCTTTCCCTCAAAGCCTCCCTTTCTCATTACGTATCCCAGAAATTTCAGCTGCCTCTTCCTGATGTTAAGTGTCAGCTTCCTATTTTTTTCTAAATCCTCCCTAAAACCTTATCGTTGCTCACATTTGATCCATGGCATCCTTAACATCCTTCTGTATAACCATACCTCAGTTACCTCGAGGGGACCGTCAGAGGACAGATATGTCGTAGCAGTTCAGAACTCTTATCTTTGTTACAAACAAAATCCTCCCGTCTCGTGATACTCTGCCTAGCAGGTGGAGTGCGTCTTTGGCCATACCAATAAGTCTTCGGATCTCAACGTCGGACTTACCGTACCCTGTCAGAACATTTCCCAGATATTTAAATTTCCACACCTGCTTGATTTTAGTGTTCCTGACCTGTAAATCGTATTTTGGGCTCATATTTTTACTGATGACCAGGCATTCTATTTTCTTGTAATTTATGCTTAGTACCTTCTCGCTATTTTTTGTAGGAGGCTTTATAATTTCAATTCCATGTCTGTTATCATTACTGTATCATCTGTGTATCTTATGTTGTTAAGAGTATGGTCGCCAATGATGAATCCTGATAAGATTTCCTGTTCTCTCAGAATTGCCTCGCTGTATAGGTTAAATAAATACGACTTTACCCGCCTTTCTACTTTTGTATATCTGCTGAACTCATTCTCAATCCACATGCAGGCCGTTTGCTGCCAGTATAGGTTCTTGATTATTTTAATATCATTCCTACTTATATCAAAGTTGCTGATCAATTCCAAAAGATCTTTGTAGCGTAATTTGTAGAACGCCTTAGTGTAGTCTATAAAACATAGATGCATGTCCTTCTGCATTTGTATTGATCTGTCTTGGAACACTCTGATCATGAATATCGCGCCCCTTGTTCTGGTGTCTTTAACGAACCCGCACTGTTCTTGTCCTATTTCTGTCTGATACCACTGTGCGTTCTATTCGTCACAATATAGCGGATGTGTTATGTCGGTGATTAGGCTGATTGTTCGGTGGATTTCAAATTCGTTTGTGCTATGAAAAAAGATCTGCTGAGAACTTCGAGTATATCAGCACTGTTGTAGATTTCATTTATTATTTCTGTAATATTCTTGTCTAATCGAAAATTCTCTAAGACTGTCAGTAATTCCGTTACAAATCCGTCTGGCCTTGCCGCTCTGTTTCTGTTCAATTTCGTCAGTGCAGCTTCTGCTTCGGTTTTTAGAATTTCAGGCCGTCGGTAGTTCTGTGTGTAGCTGGTTGTTCTCTTTCGTTGTGGGAGAGTCCTCCAATATATTCGTTCCAGCGCTGAATATTTTTTCCTTATCTAATATGAGCATTTCATCTTTTGATTTTATGCAGCCTGTTGACCAGCATGGCTTCTGTCCTGTTAGTTCCATTATTTGTTTATGAATATCTCCTCTATCTGTGGTACTCAATCTCTCTATATCTGCACAATTTTCTTTAGCCAGTCTTCTTTACCCTGCCTGCATTTGGTCCTTATTTCATTGTGTACTTTTCTTTATTTCCTTCCGTATCTTGGTAAAGTTTTCTGTCTCCTTTTCATCATATCGTGAATCTCATGAGTCATCCGTTCGTTTTTTTTCTTTCTTCGTCCATTCTCCTTTGAGATGACATCGTTTTCTGATGTAACTCAAGGCTTTTTTTAGTGCGTCCCATTTCGAGTTTCCATTCCCATTGAGTCCCTCTTATCTAGTTTCTACACTGTCCATATATTTTCTTTCAGGTACGGGTCACTCAGTAGTCGTATTGTAATTTGGGGGCTGCGCAAGACTTTTTCACTTTCTGGAGTTTTACATCCGCAGGTTGCACATAAGTAGGTTTTGCAGTGAACTGTTGCAATTCTTATTCTTTTGTTGATAGATTTGTAGTCAATTTGTTTTTCCCCTCCTTCGTCCCTCCATATCCATATTCGTTTCAGATGTTCTTGGAACAATTTGTTGGTTATTTCCTGCTCATTGGCCGTGCACCATTGGATCCATTTTTCTCCACGTTCGTTTCGGATTCCAAGTTCAAATTTTCTGCTTATAATCCCTGCCAACTCATTGCCTAATTTGGCGTTCAAGTCTGCTATAACAATTATCACTTCTTGCAATTTTCAAGAAGGCTTGGAATTGTCTAGCATGGAGTAGAAAGATTCGGTGTCTTTTTCCTCACTTTGTGCCTTCGGTGCATACACTAATATTATAGCTACGTTGAAAGGCTCTACTATCACCTTGCCTGCCAGAATTCTTTCGGATAATTCGTAGTATCTCAGAACGCATTTCTTGAATGCTTGATCTAGAATCAATCCTACCATTTTATCGCTTTTCTCTCCGCCTGCATAAATAATCCTGTAATTGCCACTGACAAAATCTCCATTGTTTGGCCATCTAGTGTCACATACAAATAAGATGTTGAATTTTAGCCTACTCATCTCTTCTTTTAGATTATCTAACTGGCCAGAGTTGTTCAACGTCGGAACGTTCCATGTCCCAAGAGTTATTTTTTGTTTGATGCGAACAGTCGCAAGATTAACGGCCCGGTGACACCTGTTACTCATGTCGCTCCATTTCGGGCGAGAGATAGCTTTCGATGAATTTTATCCCCTTTACGCCGTTATTGCTAGCAGTTGCTGGACGACGGTCAGGAGACACCTGTTGCATATGTCTTTCCTTACAGGGCAAGAGATTAATTCCCATAGACTTAACCCCCTTCACATCGCTAGGTTTCATATTGTGTGTGTTATTAGCCATAATATTTCTTGGGATTAAGAGTCGAGTGGATTGACGTTGCCTTCTCTACATTAGTTTATAGAGACACCAACTCTAGTTAACTGGCTGTTGATTCATTCTTCCGCACCCCCTGCTTGGTATGTATTATTTTTCGTCCATTACCCAATATATATATATATATATATATATATATATATATATATATATATATATATATATATATATATTTACACCTAGTGAGCCAGGATCGTCAGGAAAGTTTGGCCAAAATTTCCTGACGATCCGTTTAGGTGAAACCCAGGTAGGTTTGTCTGGCTCACTAGGGTGTATCTAGGTCTGCTCTACGGTTGTATTGGAGCTCTTTGTTAGTTAGTTGTTACTCGTATCGGGGTTTTTTCTTTGGGCTTCAGACCTGCATCTGTGCGATTTTTTGTCGGCAGAAGTTCATGTTTGTAGCTCTTTCTTTTTAAAACCTTTTTTTTCCCTCGAGATTGGTTTGATTATTAGGAAATCAAAAATTCGAGGGTTTTTCGAAACGAGTCTAGTTATCTATATTTATATGTATATATATATATATATATATATATATATATGAGGTCAGAAAATAAAATAGTAAAATAATTAACTGTTCGCGTGAATGAGGGAAAAGATAGAGATGATGCTTATGAGAGTGTCGAGGTAGAGCATCTCGAAGCGGCGTAATGCTGAGCAAACTTGTCTCGCTAGAACAATTACAACTGAGTAGTGAGTTCGATCCACACTGGGTGCCCCATACTTTCGGCCTTGTGCCACATCTAAGCTACGCTTGGAAAATCACTATGACAGTGACGAGGTAAATAATATGGAGGCAGGCAGAGCATGTTACAAAATGTTAAAAGATGAAGTAAAGGCTTGTTTGATTGACGCCCGTTATGTAAAAAACGAAACAGGAAAACACCAGTCGCAGAAAAGCTGGGAACATAGCAAGAACGCCAGAGAACAGATGCAATGAAATTAAACTTGCGTGCCGAAATGATATAGAACAGTTAATAAAAATCAGATGGACAGATTACACGGAAAGGTAGAAACTATCTCACTTTTCTCAGGTAAAATCAGACTAATAAATTAAGTGGCTCTTTAGTATCACGTGGTAGGTATTGTCAGTTGTTTTAAGTCCACAACGAAGATAGATTTCGCACACTTCCTAGACGTCCTAAATACGTGCTAGGTTTTTCTTCGTCGTGCTTCAAATATTGTTTACTCGTTGTTATCTATAACTTTTTTTTAATTTTCATTTGTTGAATAATTTGCGACTATATATACTGTTTTGTAAAAATAAAAATATTAATATGAACACCGGATTATATATCTTATTGTTCTTTCTATTTATTATATATATATATATATATATATATATATATATATATATATATATTTGGTTGGATAGATGTGAGTTTGTCAAATAGGTTAGCTCTATCTCTGATATTGAGCGCTTTCTAATAAGTACCGCGTATATAATATATAACTAATTATACATATATATATTTATTTATATTTATATACACTTTTTACACACACACACACACACACACACACACACACACACATATATATATATATATATATATATATATATAATGAAAAAACAGACCACTTTAAAAGGTACCATTACAATAATTTATTTCAACAAAATCTTTTTAAAGGAATCCGGATCATCAGGTAAAAATTCCAACAACGAAATGAAAAGAAAAATGATATTAGAAATTGATGGGTAGTGTAATTTTTGTAATTTAACAGGGGTGGGTGGGTTGAGAGTGGTAGGTAAAGAGACAAGGTAGAGTATAGGGAGGGGTTAATTTCATATCTCTTTAAGCATATATATATATATATATATATATATATATATATATATATATATATATATATCAGTAATCAAAATCACTGAAAGCAGACAGATTCCTGGGTCCACTGGTTATAATTTATTTCCGTAGGGAATTTCTTTTTCCCTGGCTCATCA